TAAGTAAGTAAGTAAGTAAGTAAGTAAGTAAGTAAGTAAGTAAGTAAGTAAGTAAGTAAGTAAGTAAGTAAGTAAGTAAGTAAGTAAGTAAGTAAGTAGTAAGTAAGTAAGTAAGTAAGTAAGTAAGTAAGTATGTTCATGAAGATACTTGGATTAGAGGTGTGTGAATCTTTTTTTTAAAAGAGAACTGGTGAACTAATGTAGGATCGTGTTATCTGGGTTGTTTCTCAGTTGTTCCATTGTCATTGTTTTTATACATGGTGTTTGATTCTGTTGACATTTGGATTCCTAACACAGGTCACTAATTACTGAGCTACCCTTCCAGACAGCACATCTCCCACTATCTGCCACAGTGATAGTATTACCAAGGCAAAATAAGAAGTAATGCCTGTGTTAGAATTACAGTATACCTGTAAGTCCTGACGGTTGGCATTACGATGGCTATCCCCACCAGAGCACCATGTGAATCACATAGCTCATCAACTAGTGCTAGCTATTTGATGTAGCAGCTACTGGCAGGAGGATTGGCACTGTCCCTCCATGTTGCTGAGGATGTTTCCTGTCCCCCAAACCTCCAGCTTCAAGTATTCAAGAGTATAACAGGTTGAAGCACTAGTTGCATAATCATCTGCCTTTAGCTCAGCAAGAGCATTTTATATTTGCATTTGTCTACGGTTCAGCTTTCTTTTTTTAACCTAATGAGTGAAATTGATTAGACCACAAGTCCTCAGCTTCCTGCTTAAAACAGCCAATGGCGATATAGATTTACCCAGGAAAGCTAGGATGCTTTTAAGTAAATCTGGTTACGGTAGCTATACCAGTATGCATCACAAACAGCAACCTGAAGAGCTGTGGTAATCGATTTCATGCATAAGTTAAAAAAACCCAAGCATTACATCGGCAGGCTACAAATGCATGAATCATCTTTTCTCTCTGGGCTAATGAGATTGGTAATTGTTTCAAACAAGTGAACTTTCTGGGAGCAGAGTGTTGTCTTGCATTGTTTATCTGGGCAAAGAGCACTGAGGGGACATAACTTCAGGTAGTCATTTCCAGGACCTTTTTAGACAAGATGTTGATCCTTCATGTAGAAGCAGTTCACTCTTAAGAAGAAAAGACCATGTGTATATTCTGACAGAACTTTGCCTCAGCTCATATTATTATTA